TTCAATTACTATGAAATTGATCTTTTTTTAAACTTGACTCTTATTAATCGAGTTTAGGGTCGGGCCATGAGCTCTTTTTATTTTTAAAAATTTAATTTTTATATCATAATATTACATTTTCTTTTTCTGAAATACAAATTATAATGTTCAAAAATTAAAACTAAGTAATATAAATTTTAATTTGAAAATAAAAACATATATTTTAAAATTTAAATTTAATTTAAAAGTTAAAAATATTTTATTTTTTTTAAAATGGGGCCTAACAAGGCTAGGCTTAAAAGCCAATTTATACTAAAAAAATTCTCAATTTTATAAGTACAAATTTTTATAAAAATGAACTTAAACAGATAACTCACTTTACTTATATCCAAGTATTTAACCATTTTGGTCCTTGTGGACACTTTTTCCAAATATATATGAATGGATGTATGTATGCATATGTATATAAGCAGCAAAGTGCTGATTGCTGAAGCAAGCAATCACGAGGGAATAGAGTAGTGGAATATTGTCACGCTTGTCCAAAAGTGCTTGTGACGCATACACACGCATTTGCTTTGGTCCTCTATATAAAAGCTAATTAATTAATTGACACATACTATTAAGGAAATATTATAAACATAAAATATACATCATGTAAGAATTCAATTATAGGGATAGTTCGACCCAAAAAAGAAAAAAACTAAAGATGGGAGGCAAATGATGAGATTGGATTTTTACATTTAGAACCATGCAAAACGAATTCACGACTAACTTCTACGTTGAGAACTAGAGGGAATATATTTATATTGTTGAAGGATAAAGGGAAAAGAAGCAAGAATCAAAGTAAGTGGTTATACATGTTGGCAAAAAAAAAAAATTTGAGTGGTTGTATATGATATGTTTGACACGAATATGCTGTTAAATGATCACATTGTCACATGATTATGTTTTGTGTGGTTGGTTTCAAGTTTCAATTATTGAAGGTCAAATTAGGTCATTAATTATCACACAATGTGGATAGAATTAAGCTCAGGATGAGAGAAGTTGCTTAATGGGTTTGGGGACTTTGAGGATCACAAGTGCTTTTCTAGTCTCAATGTTAAATAAATAAATAAATCCTTTCTTGTCTCCTTATTGCCACTTGATCCTCCTACAATCTAGATATGTTTCTTTTATATTTTTAGGGCTAATGAATAATATACTCTCTACATCATAATATTAGTCACTTTCTAAAAGTACATCTTGGCTCAAAATATAAGAATATGGGATAAATTTTATATATATTTTTTCATTTATATCCTTACTTTTTTTTTATATTCTTAGTATTCAAATACTCTTTATTTAAAAATCATACACTTGTTACTAAAAACTCTTGAAATGAAAAAAAATAAAAAGATATGGACATTTTTAAAAAATTAAAATTTCAATTAATATTTTTTGTAAACTGTAAGTTAATTAATAATGACATATAATGTGGACACACTAGTACAAAATATAAAATTTATGGGATACTTTTTACATAAGTTGAAAGGCAAACTATAAAAAGTAAAGGCGATAATATTTTTATAATTATGTTAAAGTATGTGACACTTTGTACATCGGGAAAGGTCACTTTGTACACCGAGTGGACATAGGAAATAATTCATTATACATTTCTTATTTTAAATTGATATATAATTAAATTTTTGGATTATTTGGATGGCGCTGTATATTAAAAAAACAATTGTGTTAATATTAGTTTAATTAAAAGAGAATATTATGTTTTGAATTTCAAAGGTAAAATTAATTATTTAATCCCTATAGCTTTGAGTAAGTTCAATTATAAAACTCAGTTCTTAAATTTTAATTAATTTAGTGCAACTTAATTTCAATAATCCCAGTTGTTTAAAACATTGACTAATTAGCCTTGAAAAATAATTTTAATACATATAATTTTATTTTTTAAATATAGAGGACTAACATTTTAAATAGTTATATGTTGCATTGAGTCAAAGTTCTCAAGGACTAAATTGTAATCAATCAAAAATTATAAGAACTAAGTCATACAAAATAAAAGTTTAAGAATTGAGTTTTCACAGGGTAAAAATCATAAGAATCAAATAATTATTTTTTTAATTTTTAATTAAAATTTCAGGAGGTTAAGTTTTGTTTTCAAAAAGACTAAAGTATATATTTGGTCCTATAACTTTATATAAAGTTTCATTTAATCCTTTAATTTTATAAAATATCTTTTCAGTTATTTAATTCTAATAATTATTTTAAAATGATTATTTTTTTATCTCTATCATTGTTATTTTGAAATATTAGACTTAAAATGTTAATATTTAATAATGTTTTATTAATATTTAAAAGTTCTATGTAGGAATTTTTTTTATTGATGAAACTAATTGTATTAGAGTTAAATGATTGAAAAGATACATTGTAAATTAAAGGATTAACATATATAAAATTTTATGTATAATCAAAGTAACAAATATATAATTTAACCTAATAAAAATAGAGTTTGAGGGTGCAAAGAAGTTTTTACCTTGACTCTCTAAAGATGAGAAAAAACTCTTGCACTTCTGCTTAACTCCTTCCATCTCACCCTCTTGAAGGGACAAAAACTCTTCGGACTATGGTGCATCTGTTCACACACACACACCCATGTTTATATAAGGCTTAAATATTTAACCTTATATATTTAATATACTTTTATTCAATTAAATTAAAATAAATAAATTTATTATAAAATAAATAATTTATAAATGATACACATATTTTTGATGTATTTGAAAACTAGCACCTTGAGTTTACAAGACTAAGAGCCATTTGATTATTAAAATAAATTGAAGAAAAAAGGAATATGTTGATGGTAAACAAAATAAACTAGAAAAACATTGTGTATGATAGAGAAATGAAAATTATAAGGAGGTAAAACCCTTGAAATGATTGAAAGATGAGAATGGGGATTAATGACTTTATTCATGACAATTCCCATTCTCACTTCACTATCACCCCATAATTTTAATTTTAATTTTTTTTTACTGTCTCTATCTCTTTAAAATTTCACGAGTTTATTTTAGTTCATTTTATTCTTTATAAATTATTTTTTTTTCATTTCATTCTTTTTCAATAACCAAAGACTTCAAGTATATGAGTTTTTCCATGTATATATAGATTGGTTTATAATTTATAAACACCAATAATTATTACAAGAACTCAAAAATACAGATCATATTATATTGTTTACATGTTAATTCTTGAGACGGTTGGAAATCAACATATGGATATTATATATAAATATGAGTTAATCAGTAATTACCTGAAGCTAACATATATATATATATATATAAAGCTAAGATTCAAATTCTTTCAATGTAACAATGTCACATTATAAAATACTATATAGTAATTAATAATTAAATTATAATAACTGTGTGATATATTGCCACACCTAATGGTCATTGTGATACATTATAAAATGAGAACTTGAACAAACTCTCTTCTACAGGCATCGATGGTGCGTGCAATTCATGGTGAGATTGAGACGTTTTCAAATTTATTAATATATAAAATAACAAAAATATCAGTTACGAATTATAAAAAATAAAATGAAACCGTAGATTTTCCTCTCATCCGCGTTATGCGCAAAACTGCTGCGATTGTACGCGACTTTCGATGTTATCCCAACAAACAAAACCTACGCTCGCTCACTCATTCACATGTTACACCCAATAGTTGTTACACTCTTAAGATGAGTCAAAAAGAGAAATGTCCACTTGCATTCACGTGGGAAAAAATATACTTGTTTGAGCAAAATATAATATAAATTCTTGCAAAAAAAACATAAATTAAATTAAATTAAATATCTAGTTAAAATTTATCCATATTACCAAAATCAACCATCCATATATCGCCAAAATAGATCTATTTTGGTGATATTCACAACCGTATGGGCAAGCTAATAGCCTAATACCAAAAAAAAAAAAAGACCATTCCTAAATTTTGATCAATTTTGCTAAATCTTGAATGAGAGAATAAATTACCCTTAGGTCCTAACCACTTTTGAATACATGAAAATTTGATTGTGGCAGAAAAAATTTTTTTTGATATATGTAACTGAGGCTGAAAAATAATTAGTTGTCTCTATTTAAGAGATAATTATATATATATATATATATATTGGATTTTCAGGATATCTCACATTTGGTAACCATAAAATTAATCTCTCAAAAAATCTAAGTCAGGTTATTCTTTTTCAAATGATGCTTTCCATACATACAGGGAATTCTTCTTCTTAATTTTTACTTAAAAAACAATTTTACGTATAATTTTTCTAAGATCTTATACAATATCCTAATTTTTTTAAGTCCACTGACAATTTGAGTATAATAAATTCACAACTAATATAATTATCAATTTGCTATACTCAAATCAACAGACTTTATAGTATTTTAATTTACAGTATCGTGCAGGATAAAAGAAAAAAAGCAATTTTCCCAATTTTTTAACCATGGTTAATAGGGAGGATAAAGAGGAAGACTACTCATTTTTTTTATAAATCATTTCTAATTGACTTAACTAAAATCAAGGTGAGTTAGTTAGAATAATAAAGTTATTTTAAAAATAATTCACATTTTAACTTTTTTCCCTAAATTTTTAAAAATATTTGATATGGAAGAAGAGTTTTCTTAAGAATTGAAATATTGCACTCTTTTTTTAAATTTGTTGGAGATTATTTTCAAAATCGTACAATAAAAGATTACAGATTTATATAAAAGAACAATTTTTTTAAAAAAATATGACTAAAAAATAGGATGAAAAGGGGGCCAAAAAAAAAAAAAACAGACACACACACACACAGGCGGTGGTGCTTGTCTCAACTCTCAATGCTCATCCGTGAACCTTCTTGTATTATCCTCTCCATTCTCCTGCCTCCATTTTTGATTTTCTCTCTCATTTTCTCGCTATTTTCTTTTCCTCTTTCACGGGATTCTCTTTCCCTCTCATTCTCCTCTGTCCTTTTCTTCCTATATATTCCCCTCCATGCGACCATGCCCCACTCTCTCACTCACATGTCTCCCTTCCCCTTCTCTCTCCTCTCTTCTCTCTCTTCACTTCCCCTGCATCCTATCAACCAGGTCTGTTTTCTCTTCTCTTTCTTCCTTTCTCTCTTATTTTCTCTCCAACCAAACAAGCTCATGAATTTTTATGCAGTTGCAGCAGCAGATGTATCCGAATCCGACTCTTAAGTCCACTCCCAGGCCTCCACCTTCTTCAGGTGATTTTCTCAACTGCTTGTTAGTCTCAGCAGCTTTTATTTTATTTACTGAACAGATTGATGAAGAACAAACTGATCGCATGTGTGTGTTCTTGTTCTTGTCAGGCCCATTGGTCTCCCCCATCATTGTTCTGCTGGTGATGCTGAGTCCTTTTTCTGTCACTGGTCTTAAAGAATGTACCAACACTCCTAGCCAGTCTCATACCTTGCGCGCTCTGTTATCAGAATCCAAAAACCAGACATGGAAGAACGAGGTGATGTCTCATTATCATCTCACTCCAACGGATGACTCTGTCTGGGAAAGTTTGTTGCCCAGAAAGTTGCTGAAAGAAGAAAAGGATGAGCATGATTGGGCAGTGTTGTACAGACAGATGAAGAATAAGGGGACGTTGAATGCACCTCAAGGTATTCTGAGAGAGGTGTCTCTGCATGATGTGAGATTGCATCCGGATTCAATCCATGGTGGAGCACAGCTCACGAATTTGGAGTACTTGTTAATGTTAGACGTTGACAACTTGCTCTGGAGCTTCAGGAAAACAGCTGGTTTGCCCACTCCTGGCAAGCCGTATGGTGGTTGGGAAAGTCCTAATATGGAGCTTCGAGGCCATTTTGTTGGTGAGTCCCTTTCATTCACTTTCTTAACTTTTTTGGTTTCACCATGTCTAATGTTCTTGTCTTTAATTTTTTAATCATGTGTTACTTGTGTCTCGCTGTAAATACTTATTATTATTATTTTTGGGTTTAAAGGTGAGTTCATATGAAAAGAAATTAGAAATCCCACATTAGAATTAGATTCCCATCGCCCTGGAAATAAGGTATATTAGTGGGACAAAAAAAGAGAAAAACACAATCATTCATTACTATAATTTTATTGAGCTTTGTTTTTAATCTTATAACTTATTTCTAGTATTTTTAATATTTATAATTCCTGTAATTTAACATTGTTAAGGATTTAAAGAATAAACGTCACGTAATTAATTTCCTTAAAATTATAGGGGATGAAAATACTAGAAAAATTATAAAAATTAAAAATGAAACCAAATAAAATTATAGTGTTTAATGATGGTGTTTTTTCCAAAATAACTAATAATTTGTATCAAAATCACTTACATGCTTCTTACTCACAATCGGTTTATAATGAGTTGTTTTGAACATTTTGAAGGGCATTACTTGAGTGCATCGGCTCGAATGTGGGCTAGCACTTATAACGATGCTCTGAAACAGAAAATGTCAGCTATTATTGCTGGCCTTTCAGCATGTCAACAGAAATTTGGCACAGGATATCTCTCTGCATTTCCATCTGAATTTTTTGATCGGTTTGAAGCAATTGAGTACGTGTGGGCTCCCTATTACACCATTCACAAGGTAAATTAATGCATAACTTGTTTTTGAGTACATAATTGTACTGTTGGGTCAATATCATGGGGACTAATTAAGTTGATCAATTTTGACAGATTATGGCTGGCCTATTGGATCAACACACTATAGCTGGTGACCCTCGTGCTTTGAAAATGCTAACATGGATGGTTGACTACTTTTATAATCGTGTACAAAATGTGATCACAAAGCACACTATAAGTAGGCACTACCAATCATTGAATGAGGAAACCGGAGGAATGAATGATGTTCTTTACAATTTATATAGCATCACGGTAGGTTAACTAGTCTTATTGCTTCATTAATTTGATTGTTCGATGCTTTTCACTCTCATACTTTCTTGATATAACTTTTTGGGTCGTTTCAAGTTGGGTTAGGTCATGGGTTGATTTTTTCTAACCCAAAGATCTTTCCGATTTGAGTAGTAGACCAAAATTGACCCGACCTGTTAATGTCTCTAAATATAAATATAAATTCAAAAATATTATAACTCATAATATTCAATTCTAGCTCTTACATTCAATTTTCAATATGTGCATTTCTTGTAAACCTATGCAGGAGGATCCAAAACATCTGTTGTTGGCTCATCTTTTTGACAAGCCATGCTTTTTAGGCTTGCTTGCTGTGCAGGTAACCATTATATTAATTTATAATATTTCTTTTATATCAATTTTAAGTATCTTTATGGCCCTAAATCATTGTAAGTAATTTAGACACTTGCACATCTTCTTCAATACCCACTAAACTTCCAATGCCTGGAAATTAAATGTCTTGCTAATTAATAAATCATTTTCGTTTTCAGGATGTTGCAATGTTAGCATCATGGTCTTTTAATATTATTTTATCTTAAATTGTTTGTTCACAATTGGTGAAAACAAAGTGCATATATATAAGTTAAAATGACAACTAAGTTTTTCCATATAAATGCTATTGTTGACTCAAATTAAATTTTAATTTTGATTTCAAATGAAAAAGAGATTATAAGTTGGAAGTATGATGAGGGCAATCATTATTTACTCTTTCATTCCCCAAAAATATGATTTTTCAAGTGAACATCATTAACAATATTGCGCTCACATTTTAATAACATGTTTAAAGATTTGGATTTGAACTTATATCATAGTTTTAAAAATTATATTTAAATAATTTGCGTTTCCTACGTTGTATAAAATTTGTGATTTGTGATGATTCACGGTTCATAATTTATCAATATAAATTTTATTAATAAATATAATGCATGATGATATTATTTTTACAAATTAAAGCCCAAGAGTTTGAAAATTCTATTTCCCCTTTTCATGCAGGCTAATGACATTTCAGTGTTGCATGCTAATACACATATACCAATTGTTGTTGGATCTCAAATGCGGTATGAAGTTACTGGTGATCCACTTTATAAGGTAAACTTCTGCTTGGATATCATGTCATGTTTATTTAGTATTATTGTTGGCCATAATATTTGATTATATATATATATATATATATATTTATTTAGTTATTTATTTTTATAGATTGTGATTTTGATGTTTTCTTCCCAATTATCTAGTATGATTATTGTGGCTAAGGCCATATGATACAACTTATGACAAAACTTGAAGATAAAAACGCATTAATTTTATGCATTGCTTAGGTTGCCAAGATTCAAAGTTTCTTACAAGCTCCATTATTCATGCCTTTTGCTATATATGATAGGAAATTGGAACATTCTTTATGGACATTATTAACTCATCTCATAGCTATGCCACTGGAGGGACATCGGTTGCAGAGTGGTGGTAATGTGACCTAATTAATTATGTTTTTATTATCAATTTCTTCTATATAAATTTCAAATGATCCATTCAATTATATGTGTGTGTGCGCGTGCGCCAAGATGATATTGTGTATAGCTAGAGTTTTATTCCATCTTGTTATAGTAATTACTCGATGATTATAATTTATTTATTTATTTTGAAGGAGTGATCCTAAGAGAATGGCAAGTAATGTCTTGTCAACAACAGAAACTGAAGAATCATGCACAACTTATAACATGTTGAAGGTACAACTACAACCAATTATATATCATTTTATTAGCTAATTCTCTGTTAAATTATTTCTTTATACCCTATCCACAATATTTTACCATAAACTGTTGTAGATTGTTTCCATAGTATCTGCAATTAAAAAAAAAAATTAACCAGGCTTAATTTCATAGGTTTCAAGGCACCTATTTAGATGGACCAAGGAAGTGACCTATGCAGACTATTATGAGCGTGCCTTAACGAATGGTGTACTAAGCATTCAAAGAGGCACGGATCCTGGAGTGATGATTTACATGCTCCCACTAGCCCCTGGGGTTTCAAAGGCTAAAACTGGGCATGGTTGGGGAACAAAGTTTGACTCTTTTTGGTGTTGCTATGGAACTGGTATTCATATATTTTCTTTATCAAATAATTTAAATTGTTTCAAGAGTTACAATATATCCTTTCAAAACTGAAGTATGCATACTCAATTACTCATGTTATCTACTATCTCTTTTGTTTTTTTTTTCTTGGATTATCTTTATTAGGTATTGAATCATTCTCAAAATTGGGGGATTCTATTTATTTTGAACAAGAAGGGGACCCCACTCTTCACATAATCCAGTACATATCAAGCTCTTTTAATTGGAAGTCAGGGGGTCTCATGCTTAATCAAACTGTGTCTCCTATTACATCATGGGATCCTTTCCTAAGAGTGACCTTCACGTTTTCTCCAGCCAAGGTACTTACAAGTATTTTATGTTACAAATGACACTTGCTTTTGCATCATGAAATATTTCAGTCCATTAGAATTTTTGACCTCCACGTTTTTGCCTTTTTATAATAGAGATTGAATATTTCAAACAATATTGACAAAGAGATTTACAGCTGTTACATAAAAGAAAAATATTGCTCTGAAGAAAATAGCTTACATTGAAATATTAACTTAATTTTGCAGGAAATTGGCTCTTCCTCTACATTGAATTTCAGAATACCAACATGGACAATTTTAGATAGTGCCAAGGCTGTATTAAATGATCAGATTTTATCTCTACCACCTCCTGGTATTCAACTCTTTTCATTTGAAAGCTAGAGGTTTCACCTTATTCATATCACAATAATTGGGTCTAGCTAGCCTTCAGTTTTTCACACAATTTAATCTCTCTCTAGTAAAAAGGATCTTTTGTGGATGTGCAGGAAATTTTTTGTCGGTCACAAGAAAATGGAATGTCAATGACAAGCTAACCCTTCAGTTGCCCCTTACAATAAGAACAGAGGCTATTAAAGGTATGTAGAAATCCATTTATGTTAGTCACTACCATGCCATTGAATAAAAGGGACAGCAAAATCTTATCACTAATATTGTGTTTTGGGTTGAATTCAATTCAGATGACAGGCCAGAATATGCTTCTCTTCAAGCAATTCTTTATGGTCCTTATCTCCTTGTGGGTCATACCACCCGTGATTGGGACATCAAAGTTCGGTCAGATGAATCTAATGCTAATTGGATTACTTCAATCCCTACTACACACAACGATGAACTAGCAACACTTTCCCAAGATATTTCAGGCTCAACTTTTGCTTTAACAAACTCAAATCAATCTCTTATAATGCAAAAATTACCTGAACCTGGCACAGAATCAGCTCCTCATGCTACCTTCAGACTTATTTCAAGTGAATCTAACTCCAAGTTTTCAACAGTGAGAGAAGTTGCTGATACATCAGTGATGTTGGAACCATATGATCTTCCTGGAAAGCTCCTGACACACCAAGGAGCAGAAAATGTTCTTGTCATTACAGATTCTTCAAATGCTGGGATCTCTAGTGTCTTCAATGTGTTAGCAGGATTGGATGGACAAAATGGAACTATATCCTTAGAATCAAAAAGCAATAAAGGTTGCTTTGTGTGTAGTACTGGTTCTGGTGAAAGTGTGAAGCTCAGTTGCAGTTCTGGTTCTGATGCTAATTTCAACCAAGCTGCTAGCTTTATAGCAACAGAAGGAATAAGCCAGTACAATCCTATTAGTTTTGTTGCTAAAGGGGCAAGGAGGAATTTTGTTTTGGAGCCATTATACTCCTTCAGAGATGAAACTTACACAGTTTATTTCAACATTCAAGCTTGATATAGATTTCTTTTTCTCCTTTTTAGAGATAGCTAGGGAAATGGTTGGAAGCTGTATATGGTACATTACATCATTGGATGGAGTCATTTGAGCATATTAAAATATCTCAAATGGCAAGAATGGTGATGATGCAATGTACAGGAAAATTAAATGAATAAATAAATATATAGGGAAAATTAATCTATCAGTCCCTATAGTTTATATCAAGTTTTACATGGCTCCTTGTTTTTTAAGAATTTTCAACACAATTAGCGCGACCTGCTCCCAATCAGCGCCACTTGAATCTCCGTCTTTTTTTTTTTTTTTTGGGTGGTGAAACGATTGCAAGTAGATAACAAAATGAAACAAGCCCATTAAGAAAAGTAGACCTTGGGCAATGCCGGCCCACAGGTATCATCATGAAGGAATTAACATGAGGCTTGTACCAAGAAAGAGGGTCCACAATGTAATGAACTCCTGATTTTGTTGAAGTTTTTTAGATACGAGATTTCTTCTTCTTTTGATTTTTTATTTTATTTTATTTAATTCCACAGGCTTAGTGATTTTAGTTCTCAAGTAATAACTTTTTTTTCTTTTTGTGTGGGCTTATACTCTTAAACTAAAACCTCAAAGAGACAAAAGACCGTATCTCTTTAATGAGTTTAAGTATTGGAAAATCATCTCAATTAAATCTAATTTTTAAGAAAAAGATATAGGGTTAAATGGGTCCTTTTTTGTAATTTTCTTATTTTTTTTAATCATTTTTTGGTTAACTAATGGTCAAAATAAATTTTTATTAATTATAAGTGACATTGTATTATTTTTAAAAAGTAAAGGGAAACATTACATCAATAACAATTTTAGGATTTCAAATACTCCTAGACTTACTATAATTTAAGGGTGAAATTACTCTTTAACCCTAAGATATATCTACATTTATATATATATATATATTTATAAAGAGGACTAACAATGATTATAGGGAATGTATGCGTGTGTTTGTGTAATAACCAACAGGTCAAAAAAGAGCTATCCTTGTTTAGATAGTCTCGAAAATGTAATTTTTATTAAGGAATAAGCTAGGATTGGTCCATATTAATAAATAGTTAGTTACTTAATTAGAATTGCCAAAAGATTTATTTTATACCCTTAACCTTCTTATTGACTTTATTAATTATTATACTTTCCATATGTTTTCCAATATACATTTCCCCGATTATTCTTCTCTTGTATCTTTCTTTCCTCAATATGAGTAATAAGTCAGTAAATCTGAGAGTAACTTTTTCAACTCAAACAGAATGATTTCCCAATCCCATTTAACTAAATCTTCAACCTCTTATTTTATCATAAGCAATTTGGAACTTAGCAAATTGCAAGTAGGACAAGAAGTTTACAAGTCTGAGAGTAACAATTTTTTTCAACTCAAATAAAGGTGACGTTGTAAGTAACAAATTTACAAGGTCCCTGCCCCATTTAAATAAATTTCCAACCCAATTAAAGTGAAATTGGGAGTAACTAGTTTGCAAACTTGTTACTCATACTCGCAATTTTTCAATCCCAAATTGATAGTGCTGATATCACACTACTTGTTTGGACATTTAGTTAAATGGCGTTGAGACATCACTTTATTTGAGTTGGAAAATTTGTTACTCCCATACTTACAAACTTGTTACTTAATTATACTTGCAATTTTCCAAGTTCCAAATCGCTAGAAATTGAATTGGAATTTTTGTTAAATTGGAATAGGAAATCACTTTATTTGAGTTGAAAAATTTGTTTCTATAAGACTTGAAATTTGTGGCTCTTACATACTATTAGGGGTATTTTAGTCACACAAAAATATTTCTAATTACAGAAAAGGACCACGATCCTAAAATTTAATTTTAACATTTTATGGTCCTAAATGGTTATTTCTCATTTTCACAGGTCCTAATTTGGGGTATTTCTTATATATATATATATATATATATATATATATTGATAAAAGAGCTAACCTTCACCTTAAAAAGGAAAAAGAGCTATCTTTGTTGAGGTGGTCTTGACAATGTTAATGTTTTTTGTCAATTTGTTTTAGGCATATGCTTAAATTCATCCAAATTGATAAATAGTTTGTACTACTTGACAAGCTTTTATACTCAACCTTCTTATTGATTTTATTTACGAGACTTTCCATATGTTCTCCAATATATAGTTCCCTTGATTGTTCATCTCTTGTATCTTTCTTTCCTTCATTGCGAGCGCTTTGTGTTTTTTCAGTCTCCACAATCTAAAGTCATCACCACCTTCATTTTAGGCTTATAATAATCTTCCACCTCAAAAACGTTGTGTGTGCACGTGTTTGGAGTTTCCAATTTTATCGCCATTAAGAGACTCTCATTTCATGCTAAGTTTTGCATAAGTTACACTGACATAGATAAAGCTAACCACAAGATAACACAAAACAGAGAATGATATCTATTTGAAATTGTTTTTATTTTATTATTTTGAGAATTGGTGTTTTATAGAACATGTTCTGAGAATAAAAAAATAATAAAAATATATATTTTTTTTTCATTCTCATTTGTTTTTCAGAACAATAATCACAAAACGCCTAAAAGTTATTTTTTTTTATTTCCAGAACAATATTTTGTTTTTTTGTTTTTCAAAACACTTTTTGAAAATACGTTATCAAACAAATTTTTTTGTTCTCTTGTTCTGGAGAATAGAAAACTATTCTGAGAATAGGTTTCCAAACAAGCTCAATTTTTATCAATCTTAGTTGTCCAAAAATGTTTTTTCCTCCTTTTTTATTCGGGGATGAGTCGGCATTGCCAAAAAAAAGAAGGGGTGGTGGTTTTATCTGTTTGTTCATTACCTCAACTTTTCTATTTGGTTTAAAATTTATCCTTTTTCTGTTTTGTTTAAATCTCCTCCCTCCATTTAATTCTTCTCCCTCATTCTTCTATGCCATTTTCTCATTGTATATATGCCCTAGTCTCACATTCGTCTCACAAGTATTTGGTATTGGTATTGCGAAGGAGAATTTGAATGCAGCAGAAGATGTATCCAGCTGTTTAAGTCCATTAACTTGCCTTCACCTTCTTCAAGTAATTCTTCTTGCTTTTATATTCCTCTCTCTTTAATTTTTTTGTTTGAGCCAATGATCACCACGTGCGTGTTCTTGACAGGCCCATTCATTGTTGGCATCACTTTTTACGCCATTGTTGTGCTGGTGCTGAGTCCTTTTGCTGTCACTGGTTTAAAAGAATGTACCAACACCATTACCCAATCCCATACCTTGCGTGCCCAGTTATTAACATCCACAAACCAGACATGGAAGCAAGAGGTTATGTCACATTATCATCCCACTCCAACGGATGACTCTGTCTGGGAAGGTTTGCTGCCCAGGAAATTACTGAAAGAAGAAAAAGATCAGCATGATTGGGCCGTGATGTATAGACAGATTAAGAAAAGGGGTCTGTTAAACGCACCTCAAGGTTTTCTCAGAGAGGTGTCTTTGCATGATGTGAGATTGAGTCCAGACTCAGTCCATGCTCGAGCACAACTTACAAATTTGGAGTATTTGTTAAGGTTAGATGTTGACAGCATGCTTTGGAACTTCAGAAAAACTGCTGGTTTGCCCCCTCTTGGCAAGCCTTATTGAGGCTGGGAAAGCCCTGATTTAGAGCTTCGAGGCCATTTTGTTGGTGAGTTTCTTTTATGTATCATCTTAACTCTTGTGTCATATAATGTCTACTCATACACACTTTGTTGGGGGTGTGAGTGTGATTTAATTGGAGATATACAAGTAAATAGAAAAAATCATCAAAAACTCTCAAGATTTTGTGTCAAAATGTGGCATTGAATCTACCAATATATTTGGTACCAAAATCTAGCGAAGTACAATGGCTTGGAAGATCTATCACAAAGCTTTACTTTTCATAATTAACACATAACTGTTTCACTTTTCACATTTTGAAGGGCATTACTTGAGTGCATCGGCTAGGATGTGGGCTAGCGCACATAATGATACTCTGAAACAGAAAATGTCAGCTCTAGTTGCTGGCCTTTTTGCTTGTCAACAAAAACTAGGCACAGGATATCTCTCTGCATTTCCATCTGAATTCTTCGATCGCTTTGAAGCTCTTCAATTTGTGTGGGCTCCCTATTACACCATTCACAAGGTACATTAATTGGGAACTTGTTTTTGACAATGCAACTACACAGTGTTGGGTGAATATTGTGGGTTTGAACTAAGTTGATTAACTTTGACAGATTATGGCCGGACTGTTAGATCAACACACTGTAGCTGGACCCTCGTGCTCTAAAAATGCTAACATGGATGGTTGAGTACTTTTACAATCGTGTGCAAAATGTGATTACAAAATACACTATCAATAGACACTACCAATCATTGAATGAGGAAGTTGGAGGAATGAACGATATCCTTTACAATTTATATAGCATAACGGTAGGTTAACTAGTCTAGTAGTTTTATTAATTTTTCATGCATGATGATTTTCTTATATTCTTGATTTTGGCACTTCCTCCATTCCTTAATATAAGTTCCAAATTTGAAAAATACACAAACCAATGAAAACTAAAATCTATGCGATATGTAAAAGTTAGTTTTTTCTTTCCATTCTTACTCTCAATTAAGTGTCATCATGAGAGAGATTGCATTTTTAAATATCAATGGTAGGTGGGATGGGTAATTTAGATTTTCCAAAAAGGGTATTTTTGAAAACATGCATTAATTATGCCTAGAAATTTGTATTGGAACTTTTATTTAGAGACCGAAAAAAAAAAAGCTATAAATGAGGATCCATATTGAAGGATGGAGCAAGTGTAACTTATCAGGATATCTCAGGCAGGGCCAAGGGATTCCTTAGTCATACATGCCTTTGTTAAACTCAATAAAGCCATTTAGAGATAAAAATAATTGCCATAAAATACAAAAAATAATAATTATAACTCATAATAGCCAATCAACTGAGGTTTGAAGGATTCTAACTGAGGTGTGGGTTTAAAAAGCTCATTATGTTTTGTTTGGTTTAAATTTTTTAAAAGAGCTTTTATCTGAGGACCTTAGTTAGACCAAATGCTAATGATTCTTACTTCCAACATTGCATTAGACACATCTTGATAGCATGTAATGCTATTTACATTTTTCTATCATTTGTTAATTACGATCATGTCCCTTGTCCACTTCTGTTGACATTCATACTCTTAGAATAATTTTGGCCTCT